TGCTCCTGCTCCTGCCCCTGCTCCTGCTCCTGCCCCTGCTCCTGCCCCTGCTCCTGCCCCTGCCCCTGCCCCTGCCCCTGCCCCTGCCCCTGCCCCTGCTCCTGCTCCTGCTCCTGCCCCTGCCCCTGCCCCTGCTCCTGCTCCTGCCCCTGCTCCTGCCCCTGCTCCTGCCCCTGCCCCCTCCTGCCCCTGCTGCCCCTGCTCCTGCTCCTGCCCCTGCTCCTGCTCCTGCCCCTGCTCCTGCTCCTGCCCCTGCTCCTGCCCCTGCTCCTGCCCCTGCTCCTGCCCCAGCTCCTGCTCCTGCCCCTGCTCCTGCTCCTGCTCCTGCTCCTGCCCCTGCTCCTCCTCCTGCTCCTGCTCCTGCTCCTGCTCCTGCTCCTGCTCCTGCTCCTGCTCCTGCTCCTGCCCCTGCTCCTGCCCCTGCTCCTGCCCCTGCTCCTGCCCCTGCCCCTGCTCCTGCTCCTGCCCCTGCTCCTGCCCCTGCTCCTGCTCCTGCCCCTGCCCCTGCTCCTGCTCCTGCCCCACCGCCCTGCTCACCCCCTGCTGCCCATGGGTCCGGGCACGGGGCTGCATGAGGACCGTGTGACTGCTGCTGTGCCCAGTGCCAGGCCGGGACCCTGTGCCGGGACCCCACACGGGGACCCCACACTGCTGGGACCCCAGGCCGCTGGGAGCCCTTCTTGGGACCCCAGGCTGCCAGGATCTCATAGCGGGCCCTCACTCCGGGCCCCCATGCTGGGACCCCTCCATGCCACGCCGGGACCCCATGGGAGCTGCCATGACCCCTCACCCATGGGTGCTGGCTGGCGCACCCCAGGCCTGGCCCCGTGCCCTGCCGAGGGAAGGAGTCACCCATGGGTGCCTCCCTGCTGCCGGCAGCCCCGGCGGGAGCCGGGCAGAGCCGGTTGAGCTCCGGGCGGAGCCGGTTCGGGAGGGGACAGCGGACAGGGAAGGTCACAGGGAGCGTCCTTGGCGGCTCCGAGCCTGGGGACGGGGCGCTGGGGGGGCGGGCAGAGCTCCCAGCACCCATGGGTGCTGCACAGGGAGACCCGCGCAGCGCCTGGCCCGGGGTACGGGCACGGGGAGATCGCGGTAACGCCGCATTCCACCAGCGGCTCCCCACCCAGCCCCATTGGGAGCAGCACAAGGGGGGGTCCCCAGCTCCCCACATGGATGATGACCCCCAGGACACCCTGGCGGGACCCATGGCACCACCACATCCCGCTGGAGTCCACATTGGGACCGTGGAGTCCCGGAGCACCAAGAGGGGTTTGCGTGTGTCCCCCCACGCCAAGGGGGTCACTACGGGCTCCACCACCCCAAGCGGCACCCATAGCTCCCACAGCCCTTGGGGGGCAGCGATACCCTCCCCACCTTCCCCAGCGCCAAGCGGGGGGGTGACAGCCCCACAGCAGCCCCCGTCACCCCGCTGTGCACCCTCCCAAGCGTCCCCGCCGTTGCCAAATGGGGGTCCCCAGGGCTCAGCGCCCACCCGCCCCCATAGCACCCATGGGGAGCGCAGCTCGGGGGGCACTCACTGAGCCGGGGGCTGCGGCTGTAGTCGCGGGTGGCGGCCAGAGCGTGCTCGCGGGCTGCGGGCACCGGCGCTCGGGTGGCGGCTGTGGCCATGGTCCCGGTCCCGGTGCGGGTCCCGGTGCCGGGATTTGTACCCCTCGCCCCGGGCGCAGCCGGTCCCGGCCCGTTGGTGCCGCCGGCCCCGTGTTGGCTGTAAACAGAGGGAGGGAGCGGCCGCAGCGGCCCAGCCCCATAGGGAGGGAGCGGGGGGGGGGACGGTGAGGGTGGTGGGAGGGTGGGGATAGGGGTAGGGGTCGGAGCTGGGATAGGGATGGGGATGGGGAGAGGTGTATGGGTAGGGGTAGGGATGGGGATGGGGAGAGGTGTATGGATAGGGGTAGGGATGGGGATGGGGATGGGGAGAGGTGTATGGATAGGGGTAGGGATGGGGATGGGGAGAGGTGTATGGATAGGGATGGGGATGGGGATGGGGAGAGGTGTATGGATAGAGGGGAGGGATGGGGATGGGGGGGAGAGTTGTATGGATAGGGGTAGGGATGGGGATGGGGACAGGTGTATGGATAGGGGTAGGGATGGGGATGGGGAGAGGTGTATGGATAGGGGTAGGGATGGGGATGGGGATGGGGAGAGGTGTATGGATAGGGGTAGGGATGGGGATGGGGAGAGGTGTATGGATAGGGGTAGGGATGGGGATGGGGATGGGGAGAGGTGTATGGATAGGGGTAGGGATGGGGATGGGGAGAGGTGTATGGAGAGGGGTAGGGATGGGGATGGGGAGAGGTGTATGGAGAGGGGTAGGGTTGGGGATGGGGAGAGGTGTATGGATAGGGGTAGGGATGGGGATGGGGATGGGGAGAGGTGTATGGATAGGGGTAGGGATGGGGATAGAGATAGGTGTATGGAGAGGGATGGGGTAAAGACTGGGGTAGGGATAGGGATGGGGATAGGTGTATGTATAGGGATGGTATGTATGTATGTATGGGGTAGGGATAGGCATACGCATAGGGGTAGGGATAGAGATAGGTGTGGGGGTAGGCATTGCGTTAGGGATAGAGATAGGAATTGGGGCAGGAATAGGTCTGGGGATAGGGACAGAGACAGAGCTAGGGATAAGGATAAGGATAGGGACTAGGATTGGGGCAAGGATAGGTATGGGGATAGGCATTTGCATAGGGATAGGGATGGGGATGGTGATAGGGATAGGCATATGGATAGGGATAGAAGTAGGTGTGGGGGTGTGGATAGAAGTAAGTGAAGGGATTGCAATAGGGATAGGAATTGGAGTAGGAATAGGTGTGGGGATAGGGATAGGGATAAGGATAGGCATTGGGATGGGCAGGATAGGTATGGGGATAGGCATGCACAGGGATAGGGGTAGGGATGGGGATAAGCATAGGGATAGGGACAGAAATAGGTATGTGGGTGGGGATAGAAGTAGGGATAGGGATAGGGAAAGAAATATGGAAAGGGATAGGGATAGGCATAGGCATAGGGATAGGGATACAGACGGGGATGGGAATAGGGATGGGGATGAGGGTAGGGATGGGGTCAGGGATGGGGATACAGATGAATGGGGATGGGGATAGGGTGGGGGTACAGATGGGGCAGGGATGGATGGGATTGGGGAAGGGACAAGGCTGGGGTAGGTGTGGGGACAGGACTGGGGCAAAGGCAGAGGTTGGGGCCGCATTAGGGGTGGGGATGGGGGCAGTTTGGGGCCGAGGCCGGGGTACTGGTGGGGGTGAGGGGTCTGCAACCCCCAAGCCCCCCTCAGGCTGTGGGTGCCCATGGGGAGCTCACATCGGGGTGATGGTGGTGGGACAGCAGAGCCTGTGCATGGGGCAGCTGGGGAGGGGGAGATGGACTGGGGGGGCTATGAGGGGGTGCTGGAGGCATCCTCTGGGGGGCCACCAATGCCCCGGGGTCGGGGAGAGCAGGAAACAATGGGGGGGGATCCAAGATGCTAAAGGTCTCTGGCACTGGGAGAGCCACAGAGGGAAGGTGATGGAGGAGGAGAAGGAGGCAGGACGTGACTTCATTAACCATTAAACCCATAAGAAGCCACGTTATTCCTTCAAGTTTTGCATCCAGGACTTCTGTTTTCCCTTTATTTCCCCTTTTTCCCTCAGGTGTACCAGTCAGGAGGAGCTGGGGGGGGGGGGGGGAGCAGAGCCAGCATCCCCATGGGAACCCCCCTTCCTTCCATCCCTTGGGACAGCTTCATTGGGCTATGGGAGAAGCAGCTTTGGAGCAGCAGCAGCTTCGGAGCAGGTTTGGGGTCTTTGGGAAAGCAGCATTTGGGGCTAAATCCATGGGAAGGACTTCCATGGCCTCCCTTCCCACCTTCCCTTTGGGTGCTGAGCAGTGGGAGGAGGATGCAGGAGCTCCACGAGGATGCTCCGAGATGGGAAAACACACTTGGACAGCCCAGAATTCCCAGGGTTTGGGGGCTCCTTCAACAATAAAACTGGACCTGCCCTGGAGGTGCCCCCAAACCTCCTCCATCCGTGAAGGCAAAGGGGTCCCTTCTCCATCCGACCAGACCTTTCCCTCCCAGTGAGGCCAAGATGGGAGGAACTGGGAATAAACCGGGAAATTCGGCAGCTCCAGGGGGAAAAATAAGGAAAAGCCAAGGGATTCGGAAGGGGGGGCAGGATTCTCCCACCTCCCCTTGCTGCCTTGCCACGCTTGCAGAGCAGGGAGGGATAAGAACAGTGACACAAGCATGAATGAAGCGATGAGGGGAAGGGAAAAGGTCCTTGTCCTGCCTAAATCCCAACCCTCATCCAAATATGCCATTGGGAAGTTGAGGGCTGAGCATCCCGGGAGGATCAAATCCCACATTCCAGGAACGGGGAATGACCCCTGGCCACGGGAACAAGGAGGAACCAAACTTTCCCGAGGCTTTCCATAAAATCCTTTATTTTAAATATCTCCCTGCGCAATCCTGGGCACACGCAGGATGTGTCCCCCCCATAGGGACAGGGCGGGGGGGGGGGGGGCTGCCCCCCTGGGCCAGGCTGGGGGTCAGTCCGTGGTGATTGTGGTTACGTGACATCAAACTGCAGCGGGGGGATGCAGGAGCCCCTTGGGGTGGGGTCTGGGGGGGATGAGCCCCAAGGCAGCTCCTGGGTGTTGGGGGGGGGGGGGGGGGGGCTCAGGGCATCCCCCTGCTCCTGTCACAGCAGTGTCATGAGTGGGTGTCACACCGGGGTTGTGCCATGGAGCATCCCAAAAGGTGGTGCCACCGCAGAGCATCCTGCCATGGTGGTGCCAACACAGAGCATCCTGACATGGTGATGCCAACACAGAGCATCCTGCCACGGTGATGCCAACACAGAGCATCCTGCCATGGTGGTGCCACCGCAGAGCATCCTGCCATGGTGGTGCCACTGCAGAGCATCCTGCCATGGTGGTGCCACCGCAGAGCATCCTGCCACGGTGATGCCAACACAGAGCATCCTGCCATGGTGGTGCCACTGCAGGGTACTCCACCAAGGTGATGCCACCACAGAGCATCCTGCCATGGTGGTGCCACCACAGAGCATCCTGCCATGGTGCTGCCAACACAGAGCATCCTGCCATGGTGGTGCCACCGCAGAGCATCCTGCCATGGTGCTGCCAACACAGAGCATCCTGCCATGGTGGTGCCACCGCAGAGCATCCTGCCATGGTGCTGCCAACACAGAGCATCCTGCCATGGCGGTGCCACCGCAGAGCATCCTGCCACGGTGATGCCACCACAGAGCATCCTGCCATGGTGGTGCCACCAAAGGGTACCCTGCTATGGCAACGCCACTGCAGGGTACCCCACCAAGGTGATGCCACCACAGAGCATCCTGCCATGGTGATGCCACTGCAGGGTACCCACCAAGGTGATGCCACCACAGAGCATCCTGCCATGGCAATGCCACTGCAGGGTACCCATCAAGGTGATGCCACCACAGAGCATCCTGCCATGGTGATGCCACTGCAGGGTACCCACCAAGGTGATGCCACCACAAAGCATCCTGCCATGGTGGTGCCACGGCAGGGTACCCACCAAGGTGATGCCACCACAAAGCATCCTGCCATGGCGATGCCACCACAGCTCCAAGCCCGCCATCAGCCCTATAGAGCTCTTTCCCCTCACAACATCCCCAATCCTGAGAGCAGCCCCAGCATCGCACAGCCAAGGCTGAATCCTGCCCCATCCTCACCCTCTGGGGTCAGGGTGCTGAGGTGGGAGCAGCGGCTGAGGGTGCCCCAGGGCTCTGCTGGGTGATGGGAGCAAGGGGACGGGGTTGTGCTCAGGTTGGGGCCCACTGCAGTGACTGCACTGAGCACCCAGCACCCCAGGATGGGGCGGGGGGGGGGGGGCTTTGGGTACCAGCTGATGGCAAAGAGCCCCCTTGGTCTGATCCAGAGTGTCACAAATGCCCACACCACATCTCCCTTGCTGGGGAGTCAGGGGCTCCTCAGCATCCCTGGGGCTTTGCTATGGTGGGACAGCACCAAACCGGGATGGTTTAGCTCAGGACAAGCCTGGGGATGTCTCATGAGCCAGGGTGGTCACTGGGACACCACCAGCACCATTGTGTCATCATCCCGGCCCCCCCCAGAGGACAAGCATCCCATGGGAGCAGTGCAGGGAGACCTGGACCAGCCACTGGGATGCTCCAAGTCATCAGCACAAAGCCCTTTGCACGGGGGGAAACTGAGGCCCAAGGATGCAATGGCCAGGCAGGGACAGAGCCCAGAGCCCAGCGCTTTGGGGGTGCCCCCCTCCTGCTCCCCGGGGCTTCAGCAGCGAGCCCAGCACCGGCTGACAGCCCAGAGGGCCCCATCCGTAAGAGGCACTGAATGACCACGGCCGTGTCAGCACCCCCCCAATGCCCCCCTGGAGCTGCTCCTCTCCCACCCTGCACAGCCCAGACCACAGCATCGCCTTCCAGACCCCCGACGGGCCGTGCCCTGGCCGATCCATGGGGTGAGGGGTGCAGGATGGGGCAGCACCGGGGACACGCAGGGACCGCGCCGGACGTGACCAGGTCCAGGCTCAGCACTGGGGTGAGGGGCTTCGGGGGGCTGGAACGGTGTGGGTGGGGCGGGCACACTCACACACACGTGTGCACACTCATACATGTATGCACACTCACATGTATGCAGTCACATGTATGCACACACACACGTGTGCACACTCATACGTGTATGCACACTCACATGTATGCAGTCACATGTATGCACACACACACGTGTGCACACTCATACGTGTATGCACACTCACATGTATGCAGTCACATACATGTATGCACACACATACATGTATGCACAGTCACATATATGTGCACACTCATACGTGCACACTCACGTGTGCATGCTCACACACATGTGCACACGTGCACACTCACATACATGTATGCACACTCGCATACATGTACACACACATGTATGCACACTCACACACATGTATGAACTCATGTATGCATACTCACACACATGTATGAACTCACAGACATGCACACTCACACGTCCAGTCACACACATGTATGAGCTCACACATGCGCACACTCGTACATGTGTGCACACTCACATGTGCACACTCACACACATGTATGCACACTCACACGTGCACACTCACACAACACACGTGCGCACTCACGCATGTATGCACTCACTCACACACACATGTGCACACTCACAAACACACATGTGCACACAAACACAGGTATGCACTCACACACACATGTGCACACTCATACACACATATATGTCCTCACACACACATGTACACACTCACACACAGGTATGCACTCACTCACACATGTGCACACTCACATACATGTATGCACACTCGCATACATGTACACACACATGTATGCACACTCACACACATGTATGAACTCACAGACGTGCACACTCACATGTCCACAGTCACACACATGTATGAGCTCACACATGCGCACACTCATACATGTGTGCACACTCACATGTGCACACTCACACGTCCAGTCACACACATGTATGAGCTCACACATGCACACTCGTACATGTGTGCACACTCACATGCGCACACTCACACACATGTATGCACACTCACACGTGCACACTCACACAACACACGTGCGCACTCACGCATGTATGCACTCACTCACACACATGTGCACACTCACAAACACACATGTGCACACAAACACAGGTATGCACTCACACACACATGTGCACACTCATACACACATGTATGTCCTCACACACACATGTACACGCACACACATGTACACACACACAGAGGTATGCACTCACTCACACATGTGCACACGCTCACACACACATGTATGCCATCACACACACATGTGCACACTCATACACACACGTGCACACACACACAGGTATGCACTCACTCACACGTGTGCACACTCACACACAGGTATGCCCTCACTCACACACACATGTGCACACACACACACATACACATGCGCACTCACACACACAGGTATGCCCTCACTCACACACACTCACTCACACACATGTGCGCACACACACTCACACGTGTGCACACACACACACGTGCACACACACTCCCACGTGTGCACACTCACACACACATGTGCACACTCACTCACACACAGGTATGCCCTCACTCACTCACATGTGCACACTCACACACACACATGTGTGCACACACACAGGTATGCCCTCACTCACTCACACGTGTGCACACACACACGTGCACACTCACACACACACATGTTCACACACACTCACACACACACGTGCACACTCACACACACAGGTATGCCCTCACTCACTCACACGTGTGCACACTCACACACACAGGTATGCCCTCACTCACTCACACGTGTGCACACTCACACACACATGTGCACACACACTCACACAGGTATGCCACACTCACACACACATGTGCACACTCACACACTCACATGCACACACACACAGAGGTATGCACTTAGACACACTCTCACACGTGTGCACACTCACACACACACGTGCACACTTACACACACAGGTATGCCCTCACACACACACACACGTGCACACACACTCACACGTGTGCACACTCACACACACACGTGCACACACACACTCACACGTGTGCACACTCACACACATGTGCACACACACACGTGCACACACACACTCACACGTGTGCACACTCACACACACATGTGCACACTCACTCACACAGGTATGCCCTCACTCACTCACACATGTGCACACTCACACACTCACATGCACACACACACAGAGGTATGCCCTTACACACTCACTCACACGTGTGCACACTCACACACACACACACATGTGCACACACACTCACACGTGTGCACACTCACACACACAGGTATGCCCTCACTCACACACATGTGCACACTCACACACACACGTGCACACACACACACACAGAGGTATGCCCTTACACACTCACTCACACACGTGTGCACACTCACACACACACACACACGTGCACACACACTCACACACATGTGCACACTCACACTCCCCCCTCCCCGGACGGGTGCTCCCCGGCTCCCCCCATCCCCGGCTCCCCCCATGGCGGGTGCGGGCTGCGGGGCGCAGGGCAGGGGGTGCCGTGGGGCTGCCGTGCTCAGGGGCTCTGCTCCGCGCTGCCCCTGCAATTGTCCTTCCTCTCCAGGCGCGTGTAGGGCTCGAACGCGGACGGGCCCAGTCCGTACGCGCCGGGGAGCTCGGGGAGGCCGCCCCGCAGCGGCGCCCCGAAGCCGAGCGCGGAGCCCGGCAGCCGGGGCGAGGGCGAGGGCGAGGACGAGGAGGAGGAGGAGGCGAGAGACGGGAGCTGCAGGCTGAAGGCTCCCGGCGCGGGGGGGCTGCTCGGGGCGCCGAGACCCGGGGACGCGGTTCCCGGCGTGGCCAGCCCGGCTCCGTTGCCCGTGGGGCTGGCGATGGGGTGGGAGGTGGGAGAGAGGAGGCTGGGGGGGGCCGGCACGGGCAGGAGCCGGCCCTGCTCCAGCAGGCGCAGGATGTTGCAGGTAGCGAAGGACTCGGAGGTGGGTGCGGAGCGTTTCTCGGAGTCCCGGCTCTGGTCTTTCTTCTGCTTCGTGCGGCGGTTCTGGAACCAGACCTTCACCTGCGGATGTGCGGGGTGGGGGGGACGGGATGGGAGGGATTGGGAAGGGGAGGGGGACACAGAGAGGCACGGATGGAAAGAGAGCGCGGGGGGGCCGGGAGAGAGGCGAGAACCGGGAGAGAGAGTGAGAGATAGGAGAGAAAGACGTGTTAAAACAAACAGCCCGGCGAGATCCACCCCCCGAGACAGGGACTGCGGGGACTGCTGCCCACAGGGAATGGGCACACTGGGATGGGAGCCCAGGGACGGGAGCACAGGGTAGGACCCAAGGGATGGGAGCTCAGGGGTCAGACCCTGGGGATGGGACCCTGGGAATGGGAGCTTGGGGATGGGACTCTGCACACAGGACCCCAGGAATGGGAGCTTGGAGATGGGAGCCTCGGGATGGAAGACCAGGGATAGGACCTGGCAATGGGAGCCTCAGGATGGGAGCCTGGGGATAGGAGCCTGGGAGTGGGACCCTGGGTATGGAAACCGAGGGACGGCAGCTCTGGAATGGGACCACTGGGGATGGGAGCCCAGGGATGGGAGCCCACGGTAGGAGCCCAGAGGCAGGAGCCTGGGGCTGAGCCGCTGCCCTGTGCCGGCTCTTCCAGGGATGCTGAGCTATGGGATGTGCTGGATTCTCTGCTGTGGTGATCACCAACCCCAGATCTGTGTCCCCATCTGCAAACCCTTCCCTCACCAGGTCAAGACAGGGGGCAGAGGGTCCCTGGCCTTGCCAAGGTGCAGGGGAACACGTTAGGGAACAGGGTGGTTCCTGCTGGCCTGATGCAGGGCACAGACCCGCTTCTGCGCCCCAATCCAGCTGGGGCCATCCTCAACCTGCCTCTGGCTGCAGCGAGGAGCCCATAGGCCCCCTCTGACCCACACGGATGGGGCATGGACCCGGTCCTCAGCCCGTGGCTCCCGGCCCCCTGCAACTGCCCCCTGCTTGTGTCCCTCCCTGGCGGAGCAGAGGGGTAGGAGAGGCAGAGACAGACAGAGAGAAGCGTGAGGGACAGACGGACGGAGATGGAGGTGAGGGGAGGACACGGATGGGAAGAGACTCGGG